ATGCTATCCCTTGGGACCGGAAGCTCCAAGGCAGCCGCCAACGGCTGCAGCCTTCTCAGTGGCCTTGAATTGAAGGCGGGCAGAGCAGTTGCAGAAAAGGCCCAGTTTTATGGTGTTTTCTACATCATTGTTGTACATATATAGTATAGATTAATATAGTATAATTGTTATGATTGATATACAATTGTTATACAATTGTTATATTCTATTCTTTGACAATTGATGAGTTTGTTCTTGGAGATTGTTAACATAGAGCCTATATGATAGAGAGCTGAGAGAGAGATTCTGTAGCTCCCAAGCGCTGCAGATTGTCTTGACAGAGACCTAGTTCTCATGAACCTTCAGTCAGTTTGTCGCAGGATCCGTCTCTGCTCACCTTGCTGGGAGAGCTGGCACAAGCGTCCCTTGGGCCGAGAATGCACGCCTGTGCAGTCTGCAATTTGGTACCTGTTTGCACACTGACATGACGTCATGGTAGGTACTGTTCAGACACATCTTCTTTGATTGTTACTTCTGGTAAATCGGAGGGCAGACTATGGCAGACTACTGCAGGTGTATTTGTAGTTTCTGTTCTTTCTTGGCCTGACAATTCAGTTGTACCTTCCATGTCATCATGTTTGGTAAGTTGAACCTGTACTGCAGAGTATCTTGATTATATATCTATATAATATGTCTGTCTGTCTATCTATCTAATCCAATCCAATCCTAATCTAATCTTATCTTATCTAATTTTATCTAATCTGATCTAATCTGATCTAATCTGATCTAATCCTATCTAATCCTATCTAATCCTATCTCATCCTATCTAATCCTATCTGATCCTATCTGATCCTATCTATCTATCTATCTATCTATCCATCTATCTAAACATAGATACACATGTGTACGCCAATACTATTCATTCTATTATTGCTACTGATATATGGAACGTACAGAACTCGTACACGCACATGTTTGAATTTGTCGAACTTAGACTTTAATCGTAAACAAGTTGAAGTTCATTGCTGTGCCTGGTAGCAAACTGGTCAGCACCCATCATTTCACCTTGCCAAGGCCACATTTTCAGGTGCAGGCGGTCTCGATATTCAGCTGGTGTTGGTGTTGCTGTGTTGCTTGAATTTCCCGTACCTGTTTCTTTATAGCTGTCCTGTGACCTACCTGTCACTTCCGCTTCAGCGCATGTCATTTTGGAATTGATCCAGAAATCCTGGGCCATCCTGGGCCTTTGCCCAGCTTGCAGATCTTGCAGGCCGCAACATCCGGAGCAGAGATGGAGGCGGCTTCGCGTCTGGGATGGACGTTGAATTGAATATCCTATGGCTGTATATGGGTTTGTCTGAAAATAGGGTATATTCCCAATTATAGCCATTTAATAGGGATAATGATCATTAACCATTGGGTTTAGGCGTACACTATTTTCAGACACACCCATATGCTGCAAACTGATTGGAAGGTGTTTTGAGATGTTTTGAGCTGAGCTTGCGGTACACTGACCGGTGTCAAAGTTTCAGGAGGCTTCGAGGATTCAACAGAAGTAAGCAGCCTGATGCAGCCTGATGCCTGATCAATGCATGTTGGCACAAACATGACTCGTTACGACTTCCATATGTTCCATGAGGTCAGATAGGTCAGGTAGATCCCCCAGGACACAGAGATACACAGAGTTTGCTCCCTGGCAAGGCCTTTTCGTTCCTTGCAGGGCTCGTTTTGGCAAGAGCCTCAAAGGCCTGGAACGTGACTCGTGAAGCTGATGAGTTGAGATCTAAATTAAAACTGTTCGTTGAAAGCCTCAGCTTCGCCAGGTTTGCAGTGGTTCAGGACTGGCGCCGATATTTCGACTGTGTGGACACCTTTGATGCCTTTGATGTACATTGAGTTTGTTTTCAATGCTATCGCTGTCCATCACTGTCTCTCGATTCCCAACTGAATCTTCACAGTGGGTTCCAGGCGGCGGAGTTTCCGCAGTGTGCTCCAATTTTCGAGGGAATTTAGTGCTGTGTTTGCTCTCGGTACTGATCCTTCTGAAGAACAGCACGTGGGAGGATTCGTACCTGGCAGTTTGACGATTCAGGCATCGCGATGCAGTTGTCAGAATGAAGATTCAGAAGCTGCGTGACTGAAGCTTCAGATACAAGAACATGTAGAGGCAAAACACCACACATGTTCAAACAGTGGTAGAGAAGAATTGTTTCTCCTTCCAAAGAGACCTTTGAGACTGAGAAGCTTTATGAAGCTTTTAAATCTGAGACACATTGGTTTCCATATGTTTCCATGTTCTTGTCGATACACCTGCATCAATCCACACGGCTTGCTGCATCTTGGTGAGATCCGGACTGTTGCTGCTGATGTGTTGCAGGGAGCGGATTTTGCCTTGGGTGACGCCGTGGAGTTTGACAATGCTGGTGCAATCACTGATGGTCGTGTCGTCTTGCTAGAGGAGGATCAGGCTGGAACAAGTAGGGAGCCGTCACTGTGCCTAAAGTTCTGTGGTCATTGTAGTTTTTGAACCTTTGGAGGTGAACCTCCAAGTGGATCCAAGTGACTCATAGGAGACAGATGCGGAAATTCACCCGTGACACAGGCTTTGGTGCGCGAGACTATGAATGGGCGTATCCGAATCGTCAAGCATCGGGATCTTTTTCCTCCAGGGTCCCGACAGGCTGGTGGAAATGGACATTGCTCCCATTGACTCGATTGGGTAGGCCCACAAAAAATGTCGTGTTTGTTTTGAGATGTTGTTTCTCAGCAGCTGCTTGAAACTTGGCACTACGATTCACTTGCTCACACTTCTTGGAGATCCGTGCATATCCGTGCAAGATCACTTCATCTCAATTCCCAGCACATCAGTGCAGGGAATGTATGCAGACTTTGCAATGCAGGCTATGGCACATCATCGTGCCCTGCTTGGCCTTGCACATGATGCAGGAGCTGTAGAGGTGGAATCAATCTTTGAGCCAGACCTGGGTGTAGCCATAAGTTTACCGAGATGTGTGCAAGTCCTCCTCTTAATTTGGTTGTGTAGTGACGCCTAAAAGACTTCAAAGGTGTTGCTCAGTAGATATTCTCAAGGCATATCAGAGCAGGATGGGCTGCCACGAAATCAGAAGCTGATTCCAGTCTCTAATTTGAGAGGCCACAAAGGCGTTCAGGCGGCTCGCAAAACAACACCACCCAGACAAGGCACATGGTGATTGATTGTAGATCGCTGCGCACTGACCTCTCGTGAGGATGCATGAGGAATGATGTTGTCAGAATACACAGGTTGCAAGCACACACTCGAGGACTTGCACGGGACTGCATTCGCTCAATATCGACTTGCTGTCATTATCAAAAGTTTACATGCTTCGACAGGGCTTTGTCAGCCAGCCTTTAATTTTTGAAAGAAACTATTGAATCACCCTGAGCCTTTGAGGAAGGGGTTCAGTATGTTCTTCACATTTCTTTGCCAACTGCTGATAGTTTGCTCTCAGCCGGTGCTGGCCAGGGTGGAGATCCGGAAATGTTTCGACGATTGCGAGTGGCCTTTGAAGCCCTCACGTGGCTCGTTGAGAGATCGAGGGAGCATCCACTTGGGGAATCTTGGGGATAGATGTGCTGCAACATGGCAAGCTTTTGATAGTGCAACAATGACCATCAGCATTCTCAGTCCTTTAGTATGAACTTTCCCTACCCAATGGGACCCATGGTTGCAGAAAGAGTGGGATCCTCAAGACCTGTGGAGTATTTTGGCAGGTCATAATTCAGCCATTGAGCTCTTGAGGCTTTCAACTTCTACAGCAGTGGAGAAGTCGCCGTGCAGGTGCGGAGATGCAGCAAACACTTGTGCTTAGGGCGTATATTGTGGGCGTTAATTTTGTCTCCGCTTATGGGAAATTCCAGCAAACACATTGCAACACCATGTACTGGAAAGAACAGGTCTGCGGCAAAGTCCAAGCCTTCCAAAGCAAGCCGGGGAATCCTGGGGCGGAAGGGCGTGCGTACCAAGTTATTGCACACCGACAGACTTTTGATTGGATTTCATTAGACTGCAGGCTACTAGTGTACTACCAGTGTGGTGGTCAAGCCAGGGTCAAATCCGTGACGTTCTGGGAACCGCATTGAAGGGCTGATCTTGAATCTTGACGGAGTGTTTTAGACACAAGTTGAGCTATGCATCGGCAATTTTTCGCCTGATGTGGGGTGATTTTTGACGTCTTGTGAAGGAAGACAGGCACCATTTCACAACGCATGATAGACATGAAGCGAACAGCGACCTGAAGCTTTTCCAGTCTGGAAGTTCTGAGGTGATGCAGATTCCCCTCGGACGCCGGAAGGCCCAAGGCAGCCTTAAAAGCAAAAGCTGCTGGATGTGTTCAACGCGTTCGGTCTGATGGAGTGTAGATCCGCGGCCTTCCTTGAGCCCGCACCTTTTGCATCCTTCTGGCGCTTTGTAGATCTATGCCGAAGATTGATGATGCCTTGGTGTACGGTGACAGGCGGCGCCTGCGCCAGAAGACGCCTCCTGAGGGAATGCGCAAGGCAGGGCTTGTCCAAAGTCCTTGTGGCCGTCCTGGGGGACCGGAACAGTGCAGATGTAAAAACAACCTTCTCTAGCTGGCGATGCTGGCGGTTGGACCGAAAACCCCTGCAATCTTCCAAACTTGGGACCCCTGCAGCTTCGGAACTCACCAGGACCACCCCGTTCCAGACATGGAGGCAAGGTGGATGGGTAGAATTCGTCCTCAGATTGGATGCAAACTCATTCGCTTGCAGAATTCCAACAATGCGTGCTATACGCAAGGACGGTTCGACCTATACATCATATATCATGCATATCTAATTAATGAACCTAGGCACGAACAAATCTATACAAACAGATTGGGTTCCTGCGTCATTGTGAAAGGAACAGCGCACACCACCTGCAGGGACCCGCTCCAAAACGTCACTGCAGAAGAGAGAGGTGCCTCTGTCAATCCCTGCGCCGGTCATGGTTTGGGTAACATATGGTAGAATATAGTCTGAGCTGGAAAGCCAGAGAGAATATCAAGCTACCATTTGATCTATATAGTTGAATCCTTTACTGCGCCCAATCAATGTCAGTGCACCATGTGTTTTTTCGGTTTGTGTGGAAGAGCAGCATCTTGAAAGAGCCCAGCTTAGTTCAAAAACACCAAGATCACAGGCTGTACCAGAATGGCACTGGACCTGCCAAGTAGTGAGTGCCGACTCCGTTGCATGAGACTATGTAATTCCACACCATCGAACACGCAATCGTGCATGTGAATGCAAACATCAGACATCATAATCAGCCTGGTTCCCAGTGTAAATCTGCTCTCAGGACCAAACACACCGCTGCGGATGACAAGAAGGAGGGGGAGGCACAGCAAAGAGAGGAAACATGCTCTCATTCTGCCTTTGCATCCCCATTTCCCAGAAAATTCTTAAAAAGTCGCCTCAGTATGCCTCAGTGAGCTTGTCTTCCAGCTAATTGGGCCAGGTTGCTCAAGAGCTGACGGTGAACGGCATCATGCAGTTGATTTGGCTCTTTGCCGTCGGCCCAAAATCCCATGCATGATGCACGAAGTCCTGCTGCCTTAAAGGCCCAGAGGCCGCAAGGAAAACCGTTGAAGCACGTGGGAGCTACTACGGGTGTGGGTCAAAGTGGATCCATGGATCCGCAAATTTTCGGGACTTTAGTATCGAAATTGAACCATGTTGAACCATATTGAACCATATTACTCATATTACCATATTGAACCCTTCATTTTGTGGGGTGTCCAGTTTGGCCCATACCACCTGGTGTTCAAAACACTCAGTTTCATCTTAGGTGAGATTCTGATGGTGATGTTTGAGCTTTCTTGACAAAGGCTTCAAGATCTTGAGAACCTCATTTGTGCTCCTCACTTTGCTCCTCACTTGGTGGGAGAAGCTACAAGCAGGTTGCCCAATCTGACTTTTAAGCCAGCAGCCGCAGGCTGTTGAGCATCTTGTAGGACTTCTGCCAACAGGGTGCTTCAGAGCGACCCTAGCAACATTTCTTCATGCTGAAAAGGCTTGAATCGAGCATCAGGTCAGCGCTGGCCGGGCCTTGAAACAGAAACCTTATGCAGTACAAATGGCAAATGCTGGTTGTGTCCCTGCGTGATCGTGCGTGTCCAAAAGTATATCCAGGAGGCCTGGCCCGTCTGCAGCGCAAAAAACTTGAACCTGACAGAAGCTCTTCAACAGAATCATTCTCGGCTTGAGACCCAGAACATTCTGCAACACCTTTCAATAGCAAAATTATGCAAAATGCAATTCAATACAAGCGACACGAAAGTCGTGGAATTCTGTAGCAAGACTACATAACTCTTCTAGCAAAAGAGGCTACCGTAAGCGAGGAGCCAGGAATTGGGAAGAGGCAGCGCAGAAGCTTGCTTCCCTATGATGCACAGACTGGATCCATCCGGCCCCTGTCAAAAAGTTGAGTTTGCGGTCTAACTGTTCCTTTTGGAGCGAAGCTTCTGCAAATTGTGTGGTGGTTTGACACCAGTGGGTAGAGACGTGAATCCAACACGGTGATGATCTTATGTGCATCGCAGCTTTGGCAGAAGAGTGAGGTCAATTCCATGAGCAAAAAGTGATATCCACATAGATCAAGCCTCGACAGCCACATTTCAAACGGCATGAACAGGACGGTAACCTTCATAAAAGCTTTGAGTCATACAGTCAGACACATCTTTCCAGTGATCTCATTCATTTGCTCCAACATTGGGAATCTGCAACAACATCCAATATCATCCAACACTCACCAGCCAACTAAATCCAACTGCTCTATTTGGGAAATTCCCTGGGTAAATAATGTGGGAACCTCATCTGCGACATATCTGATATTTTAGCTATGGATTTGCTGGGTTGGGAGCCTCTGCGGGAAGCTGCAGAAAATGAGGACTGAGGGATGCTAGCAGCTGCTAGCAGGTTGGTTTCCAAAGCTGGGACATCGGCGGCACAAAATTGATTGGCTGGCTTATTTGAGGCTCGATTATTTCAGACATTTTCAGGTCATGGCCGGTCATGGGTCATGGATCGTGCTAGAGCAACATCCTTGTGCATCTATTCTCCAGTGCAGCCATGATAGCCATGCAATGCAGAAGGCATGGCTGCTGTGATTTCATACCACCTTTGTCTACTGGCTCAGCTTAGAGGCTTAGATGCAAACAAACATAGCAATGGCAGAGGGTTGCGCACCCCTCAGCGCGGAACATGTCCTGGAACTTCTCGGACTTGTGTATCTTCTGGCTTGAACGGACATGTCCGATGAAAGCAACGAGAACAGGAGTATGCAGACATTTGCTTGGCCATTGTATATTTCAAACATATTAATTATAAAGCTGGATTCAGCCGGATAGACTCCCTCGCTTGTCACTTGGACCCTGTATTGAACCTCTAGCATGGCGACGCCATTGTCCAGAAAAAGGGCGATTCCTACAGTGGCGGCAACGCTTCTGCCAGCGGCTTAGTGTTTTGCTGCGACTGGAAGGGGAGACATTTATGTATACACGTAGCATCACGTAGCTAGATTCATCTAGATTCTGTCAGATTCACGTTCAAGTGGCTAGTAAAGACTGCATACCTGGGCAGAGCAGATTGACATGATTGGTAGACACGCACAAATGCAAGAGGCGACTTTCAGGGCATGGTTTTGCTTTTCATTAATCAGCAGTGTGTTCGAGAACATTTGGGTGAAAAAAACATTTCTGGAGCACAGGTCCAGAAGGCAGTGCCTTTAGATGTGCTTGCTTGCCAGATTGTTGCCGATGTTCCCAGCCTTCACTGGGCTGCCGCGGCAGAGGTGCAAGCTTTAGCTTTTTTTTCTCGGTAGACAGCTGAAATGTGGGTTGGGATGTGTTGGGTGATGTGATGGGTGATGTGTTGGGTGATGTTACTGAATTTGCTGTCAGCGTCAGGATCCTCTCTCGCACGATTCGACAGTCTCTCGGCGAACACATACTAACATATACTGACCGACACATTTAAATGCGCATAGAACCTCTGCAGCGACTGTCCCTTTGGAACACACTGCTTTCATGCCCCCAGTGGATCATGCAAGATTTGCAGGTTTCCAATCTACTACAAGGATCTGCACATACTCAAGACATCTCAAGACTCTCAAGACTTTACTCATCTATTGTCATCTATCATGTCTTGGGATTATATATCCATTTTGATCCAGGCAATCAGACCGAGATGGTAGCACCTCTGCTGCACGAGGATCGTTTCTGCGATGGGAAGAGGAGTTTTGCATGTGATGGAAAAGGTCTCTTACCATGTGGAAGTTGTACCATGACAGGGTTCCAAGGCTTGTTTTTTGGGAGAATTCAGCATTGGTGGAGGTTTCGTGAGTTGGCAGCAACATGGTCCGAAATGATTCAGTGATTATTCAGTGTATTTGTGGGTTGCCCACAAGGTGAAACCATGATTGTCACGCGAGAAAATGCAAAAGATGATGAGGCCGAGGCTCCGCAATATGCTTGCAGCTTCTAGAGATTGATTTCCGATATTTTGGAGACCTAGAGTCGGGGGTCGAGACTGACTGTTTCCATTGTTTTTGGCCAATTTTCCTTCCAAAACGAAGACGAAGCGGACATGGTGGACTAGACAGGAATGGTCATGCAATGTCATGCTTATTAGCTCACTCTACAGGTGCGAAGGAAGAGAATCAACGGGCGGGTGGAAAAGCCCCTCCCAAAGACCATGAAGGTCAAAGCTGCTGGGTTGCAAGTGGCTGCGACTGACTCTGCACCCTTGGCTCGGAAAAGTCGGGGTCATCGGCCTACCCACGCCTCAGTATGCCTCAGTGATTTTAATCACTTGCTCTGAGGAGAAAGCTGAGAACACAGAGATGTCGATGTTGGGTCACTTGACTATGCTTGGATGCTATTTGAGCCGAGTTCAACAGTGGCAGCAAAATGCATGGACCATGATCGGCCAGTCTTCTCCGGCAAGGCAAAGGTGCCTTAGCGTTGCTGGGTGCTGCGCTCCTGGCTGCTGCTCTCCAGCTTTTTGGAGGCCAGGGAAAGATATGCTCGAACATCCTGGAACATGGCTAGTGTGATCTTGAAGAGTACAATGCAGCCAGTTGGGCCAGTTGGTCAGGATCTCCCTGTGAGGCACAATACAGTAGTATAATGGCTGATGTTTGAGTGTCAGCGAGGTTTGAAACGTGTTTGGTGCAGCAGAATCATTTAGACAATCTCTCCAAAAGCTGTTATACCGCAGCGTACCGTAGTGTACTGGTACCGTAGCAGCAAGCTGCGCTATTCCAGGTGAACCGGATATGCCCAGAGACACGCAGCTTGACTGCACCTGGTAATCTGTGGGATTTCACTTCTTCCTCATGCCTCTTTGCAGGATGTTTGGCCAGTTGCCGTTGGCCAGTTGTTTGTTCCGCTTTTACTGTCAATGTCCAACAGAATCAATGCAATCATGATTTTGAAATATGTTGAAGCGTTTGAAGCTACGTAGACTGATATATTATAGACTGTACACTTGTTGCCTTTCAGCCTTAGCATGCCTTAATGCCTTAGCTGAACCATCGGGATGGTGATGGAGGGAGGGAGAGAGAGAGAGAGAGACTGTACTGTATGTATCCATATTATGTACATATCATTGTATATTTACATATTACATATCAAGAAATCAATACATTGCACATCGTCAACACATTAGATACCACTACATGTCATGTGACACAATAATTACACAATACCCATATGATCATGCGAGTATGATCCGTTTCGTCCTCGCTGCGATATCAGGTACTACATCTCCTCCAGCAGCTATGTGATCCAAAGCAGCCGTGATGCCACGGGCCAAATGCGGAGCAGAGTGGACGAGAACAGCGGCGTTTGGACCAACATCCCAGGGATCAAAGGCGGGGAGATGCTTGAGATCCGACTGTTGGCCTAATTTGATCACAGCATAGATATATGATATATAGATATCTATGGTTGATATATCATGATATATACTGTATATAATATATATATATATTATAATATATAGTTTTTTAGTTGCTGCATCTATAGTTGATCTACCTGGATCTAAGCAGCCCAAGGATCCAACAAGAATCCAGACCATTGTTCACAACGTCCGGGATTCTTCTCTGATTCGGGGATGGTGTGACAGATCATGGTTTTATCCATAGATTAACATCTTTGCAATGACCACTATAATCAGATCAAGATTCTGAATAATTCGGAGGACCATGTCCCGTGGCCACTGTAAGCGATATTGTCAGCACACGATTCTGACAAGACACTGGCGTGGTCTCGCTCTGCACGAGGACCAGAAGCTTTGATAGGGCACATGCAAACATGTACGGTCATTTCACATTTAATTTCCCTGCCAACCATGACTGATCTGGGCAATTCGAGTTTTCCAATGGTCAGGAAGCTCTGGTGAATCCCCAGAACGCGCGCGTGAGCGATTGAGGAGCACTGAGGACAGGGCACCTGAAAATAGATCACTATTTCCTATACCCTCTGGTTATTTAACATAGCCATGGAAAATTGCCCATTTATAGATGGTTTACCTATTAACAATGGTGATTTTCCATGGCTATGTTAAATAACCAGATGGTAATTTGTCGACCTGTTCAGTCTCAGATTCTCTCAACTCCAGTCCGAAATGATCGAGTTGACCAGAGGCCTTGACATGTTCTTCGGCCGCTGCTGATGCCTCTGATGCCTACACCAGGAGCAATTGGATAGATCCATGCAACAAATGAACCGGGAGATGGAGGATGCCTTCCAGCTGTTCAGTTTGATTGGCCCTCAGTTGATTTCGGATTCAAGTCTTGTTCTCTGCTTTGAAGCACCTTGAAGCCTGTTGCCAGTGTTTAAATTTCAATAACCACTGGGAATCTAAATGTGATACCTGCATCCATAATATCAATCATGTAGATCTACGTAGATCTAGATCTGCAGCAACCTAGCTGCACACATCGAACCATAAACGGCCCTGAGGTATCCTTTCTGAGACTTCGGCCAACAGCTGAAACATGTGGCACTGTAGGGGGCACAAGGCATCTAAGAAACTAAATTCCGACTACAGCTTTCAATCTTGGGGGAACTTGGCTTCACATTTACCAAGACACTTTTCAAAGGTAGCCCCAAAATCATTTCTTGGGATGGCGAATGGTTTCGATGAACTTATGACGCTTTTGAACGCTTGTCCAGTGTTTTCAATCGTAGAATTCATCCCAGGGTTGGCCTGTGGCATGTGTTTGAGGTGAGACATGCTCGCCACCTGTTGCCCTGACACGCCCTGCAAGAATTGCAGACAATGAAATGTATTCTTCCCCACCATGAATCCACAAGGAAAGGCTCACCTGTGTTAGGTATTTGGAGATTCATATGGATTCATCACATTTTGAAAACGACTTGACAGTTTCTGACCGTTCCCAATTGACCTGGCAGGGCATGTCAACTCTTAGCCGGCTGCTTCATAGCATGAATTTGCGCGTTGTTCGGTTTGAATCGCAAACCCTCAGTCCTATTGGCGTCTACATTGTTAAGAATAGGCCATGAACAGGTCAAATTTCTCGTTGTTCCGTGCAGTTGCTTGTAGTCTGATAGTTATCATGTTCATGCTACAAGCGTCCCCCAAGTATCCAGTTTATCCAGGAGTACACTTTGTGCTTCTCAGAGACTGCAGATACAGACTGTACAGTGCATCCAGAAAATGAAGCTGAATTGTATGTGTGAGGCATGCTTTTGAGATGAATGGCAAATCTTTAAATGTGACGGAAATGCCCGGTACAGTGGAATCTACATGAATCTACTGTATGGCAGCTGATCTCCGAAATGTAGGGTGTAGGTCCTGTCGGTGAATGGTGAATCCATATGAATCCGAATTCCGTTTCCAAAGCATCAATAGTTCTAGTTCGTTTCCAAAGGGTTGTCTTTGTTACTTCACAATTCAGTCGTTTTCAGTCGTTAACTCATTTAACTCTTCAGAGAAGTGTACTGACAAAATGGATGAATATGGCGCAAAGTTTGTCGGATCTGTGGCAGAAAAGCCATTATTTGACATCCCGCTTTAGTCGGTGTTTAAGGAATACTGTGGCAAAATATATACATGCAAATACCAACAATTTGTCCTGCAAAATTTGGCTAGTGAAAGCAACAGTTAAGCTCCCTCTCGCACCAACTTTTTCGATGAGGTCGGTTCAGAACATATTGAGTCCTGAAGTGATGTGGTCCGTAGGACTATGCTGCCGCAACGAGCTGCCTGCTAGATGGGTCTGCCTCTTAGTGAGTGTCAGAATCAAAGTTCAAACCTGTGGAACCTGCAACGACTTGTATGACGATGACGATGAACGAGAAAACTGTGATGATGAGATGGTTATTGTGATGATGGAGGCGGCGGTGATCATCATTGGGTTGAGGATGAGGATTAGGAGGACGACAGCAGGGATCACACTGCTAATAGCTACGGTATTAAGACATATTAAGACATTTGCTGAATGTTTCTGAATAGCATTGTGATATTGTGGAGTTCAATCATCTCTCGACAGAGTCAAGAGCATTCAAGAGCCCGGATCATTAAAACCCTGCAATGTGACCTTCACGTGCTTGAACCGTCACTGTGAGGCTCCGTTATAGAGATCCCCTGGATCTGCTCCAATTCCTTCGTGGAGTTCTTCACGAGGTGGAGCCTTTTAAATCCTTTTAACATGTTTTGAATCACTTCCCATGTGCCAAACTCAACATGGAACCAGGATCCGACACCATGGGAAGTTTTAGCATGTGGAGACGCACACATCCATGACTTGTAGATTCCCGCAGGACCTTGCAGCATACTGCAAGTCTCGCAAATTGTGCTCCTTTGCAATCACTACACGCACATGAATTTCAGTGCGGTTAGGTTGAGCCAATTTTGTCCTGTTGACACTATGAGTCACTAGCACTTTGTTTGGAGGTCGTCAAGAGTGAAGAGGCAGCGCTTGAAGCTGCCAAGGCGCTCTGGGTTAAGATGCAACGGGTTGAGGCAAGGCTCAGGCCGGCAATTTGCATGGTGACATGGAAGTTTTGTGCACAACATGAACCCAGAGTTGCTGCTGGACTGAGAAATCTAGAGATGTTCCTGGATGGATAAAACAGCTCCAGATTTCCAAAAAACAACAGATCCACATAATGACATAATGGATGCATCCCATCCCGTTCTGCAGGAAGCACGCGCAAAACGTGGAGGTGGTTTCAGCATGCAGGCGGCTCGATGAACTCGCTGTGGAAGATCTGGAACCTCCCAGTGCGTCGTTTCATCAGGGGATATCAGGGGGAGTGATATGCTTTGAAGATCGCAACTAGCAGTAACCAAGATATATTATATATATATAATTATATATATAATTATATATAATATAATATATATATATATATTTCAAGATATTCAATCCAAAACTTAAGTGCAAAGCACGTGGTTGAAGATTTGTGAAGGCTGAAGATGCACCAGCAGAGAAGAGGGCAGAGGAGGTAGCGGATCCTCAGCTGTTGCTCCGTAAAAAACCTAAGCATGTCTTGACCTTCACAATATGGGTGTCTGAAAAGAGTGTACCCCTAAACCCAATGGTTAATGATCATTATCCCTATTAAATGGCTATAATTGGGAATATACCCTATTTTCAGACAAACCCATATTCTCAGTTGCATAACCCCAAAAACCTATGCCAGGAAGAATTTTCATTTCAATGACTAGTATACTTTTAATGTTCAGGTTTATTGAATGTTATTGATTGCTATTGCCTGGGACATCCTGGGACATCCTGGGACAAAATGCAACCGATGGCGGATCGAAGAACCTTTGCCACCCCTTTGCAGGTCAGCTCTGCTACTCGCCGCTGGCGCCGGACGGTCCGGGCGGTCTTCAATGCAGAGGCATAGTGACCACTCAGTCTGTAAAACGTTTCTGATAAGAGGCGATCAAAGGCAAAAGCGATTGTCCCATCTGAAAATTCGTCATGACCATGAAATCCATGAATGACATTGCAAATTTCGCAGCGCTTTCCTGAATTGCACATCATTGTACCAGGGTTCTTCTCAGTCTCAGCCAGTCTGACTTGAACATTGGGCACTATTGGGCGTGAGCATCTTCAAATACCAAGACTACCATAGTTGGCGTTCAGGCAGTATGGGCACGCATTGTGAGTCTCCCTGCAAGCCAGGCCGCTATGGCCATGCTGAATGACTTGCAAGACGCTTATCGCTCGGAGGAATTTCAGAGGCTCTTTGCAAGTTGGGTCTCAGGTCACGCCCATTTGCGTAGTAGTGCAGTAGGGACATTCTCTGCAATCTACAAAAAAAAAGATACCATATCGAACAAAAAACATACTAGGCCTGAAAAGGCTTGTTGTCTGTTGCTACAGCTGCTACGGCTTCTGCCTTCACAAAAAAAATCACAAACAGGTCAGCCCATGGGCTGAATGGGCGCTGGCGCGATTCATCCAAGAGATATGCTGAGAAGATGGCCAGAAGCTTAAATACCTCAGGCTGTGACCTATGCAGCGCACCTTCCAACACAGCAATGCTTTTTGTTGAACACAGGATGACATGGATAAAACATGCTGTGACATGCCAATACCAGAAAAAAACAACTATTAAAAACGTTGCTATTTTGGCAAAGAATTTTCGCCGAGGCCTATATGGCTGTGTCAGAGAATGGGGTATATACCCAACAACTGGCAATCTTAATGAGAACATTGTCGGAAACTGGATGATTCACCAGCGGATTTTTTGTGGTAACCTATTTTCAGACGAACCCTCTTAGATTGCTGTTTGTTTCTACCAGTTGAAGCTTTGAAGGCGGACATCGAAGACTTGTGCTTGCGGGAGGTTGGCCGGCACCAGGGGCAAGTGCAGGTGGAGCAAAGGGAGTAGAATATCATAGAATATCCTGAGATATCTCAAGATGTCTCAAGATGTCTCAAGATACCTCAAAGAGCATCCCACTGAAGTGCAGGAATTCCAGTGTTTGCATCCAACGTTTGTGAAGTGGGTACGTGGAGTGCCAAGGCTTGCCCCACCATTTCTTTCATCCGTCCGCACCGCATTATTCCTGGTTGCAAAGGTTGACCATGCGGTTATCCGGCATTGCCATCTACACGTGGGATTTCAATGGATTTCACAGGTACAGGATGGATCAGGATGGTACAGGTATCCAGTTCTTCTGCTCTTTAGTAGAAATCGCCCCTTTCTGCAGCTTCGCTTTTGGCTCTTTCTATTTGGTCTTGCCAGCGACCTGTCGGAGACTCAGCTGATCTCAGGGGAACTGCACTGGTCATAGAGATTGAGCTGAGGCCTGGCTATGCCCCGCAAGCGCAGGACTGCGACCTCTAATTTTGCCTCCGAGAAGGTATTGACTTTGCAGTTTTTGGCATGTAGAAGACCCCGGAAACGAATAGCAATCCAACATGTGACAACAACAACGTATCAAGTCCTTCGTCGTATCAAAATATCAGCATTGTCAGTTTGCTCGTCCAGAGATTGCATTGGTCTCGAATTGATTGTTTTGGGAGGACTCGTCTTGCAACGACGCCAATCGTGCCCCAGGCTTTCCATGTGCGAACACAATTACGTTTCCATTCTTATGTGTTTTAGTTGTGTCTTGATGTCAGCCTTTCCAAAACGACTGCCCAGCCATTCCACATGACGTGTTCATACTTTTTCCATCTTTTTCCCACTCTTTTTGTGGATTCAGAGCTTGCAAAGAGATACGTAGAAATATGGGTATGGGTCAATATCTATAGATACCATTTTTAGGGGGATGAACATCCATTTACCAGCTATTTTGATGTTCACCAGGGGTACAAGGTTTTGACACACTGCCATATAGGATGATTGCAGCCTCCCATTCCTCTTCTGAGACCTGAGATTCGAATGTAGGTGAGCCCATCAGCGAACAGTGATGACGAGGAGGGCATTGGGGTAAAAGAATGTGACAGGCGTTTTCACAAGCGGTGCCAGCAGTGGCAGGAATAT